AAGCATCCTGGTCTTCCATAACACCTCAGCAGTGCCACAGGCTGATAGCTTCCATGCCACGCCGCATTGAGGCAGTAATTGCTGCAAAAGGGGCCCAAACCAAGTACTGAGTACATATGCATGCTTATACTTTTCAGAGGTCCGATATTGTTCTATGTACAATCCTTGTTTTATCGATTGCATGTAATATTCTAATTTTCTGAGATTGTGGATTTGGGGTTTTCATGAGCTGTAAGCCATAATCATCACAATTATGACAAATCACGGCTTGAACTATGTTACTTTGCATGTAATGAGTCTATCTCATATATTAGTTTCACCTTTTAAGTTGCATTAGTGAAATAAATGAACTTTTGCACGATATTCTAATTATTCGAGTTTCACCTGTAATTTGATAGGTACAAAAAGGCAGCCTCCCAACGATCCTGCTGCTGGCGATTTTGACAAATGTCCAATGGCAGTATTGTTAGTGACACAGTCACCCATCTAACATCAGCCTTAAATTCTAACCTCTTCAACTCAATTCCCAATGACTGTAATGTCTGTCCTATTTGATTACTGTTTTTATAGACTATATCTGTTCTCCATCTAAAAAACAAGCATTATTACATGTGTAGCCCCTATATGAGTTGCTACAGAGTCAGATATATTTCTGCTTGTAAATAGTTAATTGGCGCTGTGCAGTCCATGATACAGAGAGACTTGTGGGAGTTGCAGTGCAGCTACAGGAGGAGATCATGCCATGTGGTGCTGTAAATACTACGATTCCCAAAAGGTTGTGCTCTGGAGCAGGAGAAATGGGCTGGGCTGGAGTTCTCGAAGCACGCTCAGTCCGGGTGGATCCAGCAACCTGTACAGATCTTTGTGGGTGGCTGATATAGAGGAGCCACAGACTCTGTGCAGAACTGTCTAGGGGAGCGTGTTCAGCCAAGAGGGTGTCTGAAGAGAGATTTTCCCGGTCTGCTATATTCAGTACTGTCCGGGTGTTGTTTCCAGAGAGAGACACAGCATGATCCCGCACAGTGAGACAACCGTGGCATGGACGACGGACCACCCTCGGTCGGTGAGAGATCCATAGCGACCTAACAACCCACAAGGAGTCAGAAGGTGTCTGCAGATTGTCCTTCAGCATCCTCCTGTGGCCAGCGATCATCTTTACGGTACAACAGATGCCACAAAGACCAACAAAAGTGCCAGCTTGAGAGCAAGGGGACATCCGGCTATTTTCAGTAAAATCTCTTACAAAACTTCACAAGGTGTGTTGATGTGGTGTGGACCCTGTCTGCGTGGTAAATCCTAGCTTGAGGGCAAGAAGTACCCAGGTTGTTCTGGGGGCTCCTGTGGGGGTGAGCACTACACATGCGGTAAAACCAGAACCAGATTTACCGTTAGATACAGTAGGCTTGTGCCTATAGATGTGCAGCTTTTCTATGTACATTTGCTAACCACACATTTTTCCACCTCATCGTCAGAAATACTCATCTCATATAAACAATATTCTAAGCTGGTTGATGGATACAGTAACATTACAAAATGCTGTGTTGCAGGATGCCTTTTGTTAAAATTAAACATTTTAGTAATGCTGCAGAGTGCATGGCACGTATGTGAGTTTCCACAGCCTAGTGTCTGGGGTTGGTGGTCTGTGCTACAGAACTTCAGATTTTTTTTAGGCTATGGCATACTAGTGACATAATTCTGTGTATTCTGGTAGCAGCAGAAAAAAAAAAAAATAACTGTTTAAATCCAGATGTACAGTACTAGATTAGTATACTTCAAATTTTCTTTTCTTTTTTTTTTAACATTAAAAGTAAAAATGCCTTAAAACTATGGTTTTATGATTTTGCCAGCAATTAAAGCTGCGATTCTGATCCAGAGATGGTACCGCGTCTACATGGCAAGACTGGAAATGAGACGGCGTTATACACTGAGTATATTTCAGTCCATAGAATATGCTGAGGAACAGGCTCAACTACAGGTTGGTATTTATAGTGTACTGCTCTTTTATTCATTGAAATAAGTGGAACACATTACATAGTTACAAAGTTAGTCAGGTTGAAAAAAGACACAAGTACATCAAGTTCAACCCATTCATAGGTTGAACATTTATAACCTATTCCAGAAGTGGTAATGACCAGATTGTTCTTAGTTCAAAAGCAATGCAGCTTGGCAATGTGGTCCATGGTTAAAATTGTATTCAGGATTTGTTACTTTTTATTTGCAAACTTGATGCAAATGTTAACATAAAAACCTCTGTTGCATTCCAGCTCTCCAACTTTTTCACATTCATGATGGATCACTTTGCGCAGATGAATGAGCAAGCTCAAGGGCCTGGTAAGATGTAGGTTTTGTTGACCTTTTAACTCCTTTAACGTGAACCTTCTATAGCCCAGCTTGAAAAGGTCATTCAGACTTGATTGATATGTAGCCTGAAAATGTTTATTAGCATTACCTAATATGACTTAAACATACAGACATAGGGGGTTATTCACAAAAGGGTGAAGAGTTTGGAGAAGGCAGGAGAAGTGAACAATCTAGGACAGTGGTGGTGAACCAATGGCACGCGTGCCAGGGAGGGCATGCGGGGCCCTCTCTGCTGGTGGTTCAGGGACCACCAATAGAAATAGATCCGACCAACCCGGATTGCCTCAGTACGCCAGTCACAATCAGGCAGCGGCCTCTAAACAGGCAGATTAGACGGCCGCTCCTCCTCGCTAGGACCCCGGGAGGCCCGCAGAATATGCGTGTTTCCCTAGTTTCCCTAAGGCCCCATTTGCACTGTGCATAAAATCCCGCTATTTAGCGCATTATTGCGAGAAGTCGCCGGCCAAGGTTATTCAATGGAGCTGTTCTAATGTACAGCTCCATGTCGCCCGTCGATGTCGCTTCAGCAGGACCCTTTTTCCGCGTATGTCGCGCAATTTTTCTATTTTTGAATGCAGCCCGACGTTGAAGGTCTCGCGATCTTTGCTGGAACGTCGCCCCGAACAGTCGCGCTATCCCGGCCCCGCTTGTAAGGTATGTCGCTTGGTGTGAATTGGGGCCTAAGGCAGTGATGTTGAACGTTTCTTAAACCCGAGCGCCCGAACTGCAATACAGTACTAAACTTAATTTCAGCGCTGGCACTTTGAGGCAAATAAATTGATTTTGCGTCGGGTTCAAAAAGGTTCGCCATCACTGATCTAGGACAACATAGCTGAACTGGAAAGTGAGCTGAATTGGAGAATTTTTCCAAATCAGCTATTTTGGCCTAGATTGTTCACTTCTCCTGCCTTCTCCATACTCTTCACCCTTTTGTGAATAACCCCCATAGACTTATCCCACAGCTGGATAATTTGAATCCCAACAAAAGATGTGATAAAAAAATACTAAAATGCAAAGAGGGAGGTAACTATCATGCACATTTACTAAAGGCTCATGTCGACAGGCATTTTTCCCCTGCTTTTGACGTGCATTTGGAACCAACATCAAATTCAGGTCAGCAAACAGGCCATGGCCATGCCAAGCAGTAGACATGGTAGTTCAAATGGCACAGAGTCCTCAATCTCTTTTCTGCAGCCCCAGTTATAAATGAACGGGAATCCTCTATGAGTGTTCCTGTTCATTCATAACATGAGAAAATTGTCTGTTTACTATAACCACAATCATGAATGAACATAAGGTGATGAACACTCCCATTCATTCATAATTGAGGATATAGTAAACATACGATGTCCTCAAGTATTTAGAAACACTCAGTGATCTCTGATCACTGAGTGTTTTTACCTCGCTCTCCTTTCTGACAGCTGTCACAGGAGGCTAAGCGAGCGGAACAGGGAGGAGAGCTCAGCCTCCTGTGACAGCGCGCTGTCTCCGCCCCCACACCGCTCTGCCGGACTGTGATAGGAGGCTGAGCGGTGTGAGAGGAGAGACGCTGGCCGCACACAGCGCTCTCCTCCCGCAGCGCCCAGCCGGCTGTCACACTTTCTTGCCCTGCTCTATGTGCCAGCGGGGAGGAAAGAAAGCACGGATGCGCCGATGTATCCGCAGGAAAATGGCACTTTCGGCATTTAGCCAAAAGTGCAATTTTCGGCCGATATGTTTCGGCGGCCGATATATCAGTGCATCCCTAATTTGTTTATTAAATATTCCAAACAAAAGTCCTTTTATATAGCTAATATGGCTAAACTGCGGTGTCCTCTGATTGCTGGAGTTAAATATGTCATACCGTTTTTAAACCAATACTGATTCAGCTATCTTATTTTGCAGATTTGATTTCTGATATATTCAAGTGTTCAAGAGAGGTCCAAGAGAACCTTATGGTTTATGATATGATAGAAGTTCCTGACTCATACGATGGACCACGACTGTCATTCCCACTAACAGTGTCTGACACTAACAACCTACTTAATGCTTTCAAGCAAGAGAAGGCAAGTTTCTCCTTACCTATTGTAATGCTCAACACATTCCAAGGGGGTCTTTTAAATAAAACACCTTTACACATATACCAGCTATCCCCACCCAGAACCACACGCCAGACATAGTAAACTCTTAAGCTGACCATACATCAGTAGAATTTACTGTAGTTTGGAAAAAAAACAGTCCAACCCACTGTTTCTCACCCCCTTTGTGGAACCGGTCTACTATACGAGTCAGGACGGCTGAAGCATGGTAGAGAAAGATATCCGGTGCGCTCGCCCCCCTCTGCGTTTCGGAAGGGCCAGTGACCTATAGCTAAGTCGCGGACGCAAGGTGTCCCAAATAAACTTTGTGAAGGCCTGTTGGACCTTTTTCAGGTATGCAGATGGCAGAGCGATAGGTACTGTCTGAAACAGATAGAGAAATCTAGGGACTATGTCCATTTTGAGTGCATTGATTCGCCCCAGCCAGGAAATAGGCGGCTAAATCTAAATAGGGGACTAAATCTAAAGTGAGCTTGTCCAGTAGGGGGCGAAAGTTCGCAGAGAACAAGTCGGCTAGATTAGTCGGTAGAGAGACACCCAGGTATTTCAATGAAGCTGAGCAGATGCGGAAGGAGGTGGCAGGCTGCAGGGTGTCCAGCGGTTTGGGTCCTGTGGATCGGACCGAGGAATGGAGGCTTCGGGCCGCCTCTGGGGCTGTGGAGGGTCCGTCCCGGCCTTCTTCGTCGGAACTGCTTTCGGAGCCATCTTGGGGCCTACGGCAGTGGCACTATCCAGCAGGCTGTCGCGGGAGCACTGCGTGAAGTACGTGGCAATGTCTCGGGTGGAGGAAGAAGCAGGAGCACCGGGTGAGTCCCGATCGTCGGGCATAGGGGGAGAGAGTTGCCGAAAGGGCTGAAAAGTCACTGATATTGAGCCGCGGTGCAGCAGAGCTCCTGGCTGCACGTCCTTACACCACCATGACTGGCCACGCCCCCCTGCAGGCTTTGTTTTGACACACGTGTGGGCGATCGCACTGCGGGCAGAGGGTCGTTGCTTGGGGTGCCATTGACTTGATTGCACCGCCACGCCCCCTCATGCCCCAGAACGTCGGGGGAGTTTATTGTGGGATTACAGTGCGTTCCAGCAGCTAACTGCTCTGGAATGCACCGTATTTGGTGTGAATAAGCCGTAAATGCTGGTTAAATCACTTACAATGGATGATGCCCTTTTAGGGTCCTATGTGCTAGTAAGCTATGTGTGTCTCCACAAACACACAGACACAGCCAAGCAAGCTACCATTATGCACTCTGCTCCCCACTCCTCCTTCCGTCCTTCCTTCCTACTCCAAGCTAGTAGGTAGACAGCTGCTGGAGACTGCTTTGTCCCTTGTTCAGGGAAGTGAAGCTGAGAAAGTTGGAGCCAGCTGTCCAGCAACATGATGGCTGTAACTTTTTTGGCAAAAATGTAAAGAAATACTTTGCTGGGCAATATATATTTGTGTGATCTTGATTCATTATTGAAAACAATTTTGAGAGCTTAATACTACCTTAAAGTGCCTATACTTGCAGTAGCCCCCAAAAGTCAGCGGTTACGCCAGAATGCCAAGCCTGCCATTATAGCTGAATAACAGACACTTTGGAGTAGTGTCGGAGCTGAGCTGGTAATCAGTTCATAGTTCACAAACAAAGCTCACATACAACCTTGCCATCAAAGGGGATTTCATTAAACTTTCTTGTAACATTAGTATAAAAATCAGGTCTCAGTCATGTACGTTTACCAACATTGACTATCAGCATACAATGTAATTAACCATCAGCATAGAATGTGATTGGATATTAGGAAATTATTTAATTGCTAAAATATCTATTCTATAACCTGTTCTCACATATCTTTACCAGTTTTATTTTATATGACAAAAAAGGACAAATCTTCAAACACTATTCCAGTAATGGCCGAAGTACCAGGCACTTGGGAGCTCTGTCACAGTTGAACTGATCTCTCATCTTGTTTATTGTTTTAGCAACTTCATGCACGGTATGTCCTCCAGCTGTTACATGAGACCAGAAAATTCCTGAGACAAATGCCAAATATTGTTCATTTAACAACATCGTTTTCCAAGCAGATAACAATATGTGGTGAGTATTGCTCCAGGTGAGATCAGTCAATGCAATCGTACATCTTGTCACCTAAGCTGCCCATTCATCACTGCTATCAGGCATATTAACAGCTAGGTTCTAATCTAGGTGTGTTGCCAACTGATATTGCAAGTGATAGAGGATTTATTTATAACACAGATTTATTTGAAATGATTAGGCTTATATTTTTTTATAATTATTACTAATAAAACAAATTCTATTATGCCTGGTTTTAATTTAATGACAATAAATGCGGAATTCCCAGCAGATTATGAAGACACAAATTATTGTAATTTTGTGTTTATTAAGACATCAGTAAATGAGGAAGGAGCACATGGAACCAATCAGCTGTGCAACAGTGCAAGGAATATGCTGATAGGAGGAGAAATCAAAGTGACATTATCGATGAGCCCAAGAGTCTGCTGCTTCTCTGTTCACTATGCAGTCACAGGCTGAGGGACAGACAAGACCTGTAAGCGTTACTTAACTGCAGCAGAGAAAAATCAGGTCTGCGACCCTGCCAGACAGGCCTGTGCTGTGCGGCAGAACTGTGTAAGTCTCAGAACTGGATAGTTAGAAATACAGATCTTTTGGCAGGTAAAGCAGCTTCTTTAGATGTGTACCAGCTGTTTATTTAACTGTTACCCTTAAGAGAACTATGGGGAAAAGCCCTAACCCCATAGTTCTCCTTTAAACTGTAAAATCCGTGTTGCATGCATAGCAAATAGCCAACTAGAGTGGAGTGGAGTGAAGATATATCTGCAGTTGAGCCAGCCACAAAGCTGAACTAGAAAATTCCAGTGTTCAGAAGGTACAGTGTATATCTAGATCTCAAACTGAGATAAATAAATCCTTTAATAATCCCAGATAATGGAAACTACAGGGAAATAGAACAATAGAAGTACTAAATGGAATAGAACAATTTGCACTGAAAACAATGCATAAGATGACATCCACATGCCTATTGTATTTCATAAAAAACTTCTACATGGAGAGATGTGCATTAAACTGCATCAGCCTATATACATGGGCTCAACATAGCATAAACCCACCTAGCACATGGGAATGTGTGTAGAAGAATAAACCACATATGTGTAATGTCATCTTCTGCAATGTTTAGCCGGTAGGTTTGTAGCACATGCATAAGTACGTCCAATGGAGTGTAATTTGTGTAGATAAATATGAAAGAAAGTCAATACTACTTTCTTCAAAATCGCTTTTAGTAAGCATGCATAGCCCAGAGACAATTAGAATTTAGGTATAGAACTGCAGAGAAACAAAAGGAAGCAGCAAAGTGGCAATTAGTGGCAAATCAAAAAAAGTCCCAAAGGTGCCATGTCTTACCACCTCCTGAGGTCACCTTCGGGTAAACTGGCACACAGTACACTGGTAAGCTGCTAAGTATTCGGGGTTGGATACACTTTATGGATACAATTGGTCCATCAGAACATTTCTTTATGATATCTTTAAGTATTTTTCATTTTAGGTGACCTCCATGGAAAACTCGACGATCTTCTATTAATCTTCTATAAGGTAATCAGTGTTATTTAACATTCATTGCACCAAAGTGTCTTAAAGGAGAACTATGGTGTCGGTGCTTTTCCCCATAGTTCTCCTTAGCGTAACGGGAGGACACAAACTAGCGTCCTCCCGTTACCCTAAGCTCAGTATACCGCGAGCTATCGATGTCGAGATCCGCCCAGCAGCGTGAGTGACAGCTGGCTCTGCCTATCTAGAGGCAGAGCCAGCTGTACCCGCCCCCTCCCACGTCCGTTCAGCCAGTCAGCGCTGGCGGATCGGAGCGGGGAGGGGGGAATCCAGCCCCTCCCCTGTCACGGGGAGGGGCTGGTGACAGGGGAGGGGCTGGAGAGAGCCGTGACAGGATCGAGAAGTCAGCGAACACCGGTATGTGTTCGCTCACTTCCCGATCTACTGAGCCGACCTGTGACACTCTCATTGTCACAGGTCGGCTAGAACTATGAGGTGAGTGAAAAGCACTCACCTCATAGTTCTCCCTTAAATCCAACATGAATGCATTACTGCAAGTGTGTATAGGCTTCATGCATGCGGACTCAAAAAACTTCACTTTTAGATCTGTACCACATTTTTTTTTTTTAACACCTCATTTACATCCCATTATGGCATTTAGATCCAAAATCTAGAGCAGCGTGTACTCTTCTGAATGGTATATGCACATAACACAAGAACTTTACACACCATTACTTCCGTTTTTCCAGCTGGACCTTGCTGCCAGCTTCTGGCATTTCAATACAACCGCAGTCTGTTTTATGTATATATATGTTTTATATACATACAGACCCTCTCCTTAGGTAAATACTCTTTCCCTCCCACCTCTCATAAAACATCTGCTTCTGCTGTGAGACCATGTAGTATCTGCTCTTCAATTGGCATCTATGCAGGGCCCCAGTGCAGAGCCGTAGCTAGCTGCTTTTGCGCCCGAGGCAAGAACAGAAAATTGTGCCCCCCAACAGACGTGTTATGTCACCCAACGCCGCGCACACAGAACGCGCTGGTGGTCAAATCCAAGATAGCATAAAAATTGTTTAGTTTGGCAAAACTAATAAAAAACATTTTTAGTTTCCGTTCATTTTGTCCTAAACAAATTTTTAGTCTTTGTACATGTCTAATAATATGTGTGCATGAGTGTTTTTTTTCCCAATTACGTATTTTTATTATTTATTTATTTTTTTACTGTTGGGGGGCTTCAGTGAAATATTGGGGATCTAAACAGACCCCTGCCATTTCCCTTTTGAAATAGAAAAAGAGATTGAGGACACAGAGTCCTCTGCCCATTCAGGCGAGGGAGAGCAGCGGGGATCCGAGGAGAAGTTGGAGCCTATGCCGCTCCTCTTCTCCCTGCTGAGCCGCGGCTGCGTTGGCCGCCTGGCGCTCCTGTTGCCAATGGCACCCTGTGCTCACTATGGCAACAGGGGCGAGGGAGCGCAGCTGGGCCTGGCTACGCCCCCTCTCAGCTGCGCCTGAAGCAAGTGCCTCACTCGCCCCATGGTAGCTACAGCCCTGGCCCAGTGTTCCCTCCTATGATGCATTGCTCTACATACAATATTTGGGCTAAATCGTCCTATAGACGCCTAGCACAAGCCATACAGTTGGATGTTCAGACCACCCCACAGGCCAATCCACTGGTCGGTTGGTCCACTGGTCGGCAGTTTTGTCCTTCTCTGACAGGTCAGCACTGGCTCCGCCCCACCCACTTTGATTGATAGGCTCCTATTACAAGATTCTGCCCGATGATATTGCAAAATATATGGTATGCTTGTGCAGCTCACACATTCCAAGCTACCTAGGTATCCAGAATTGTGTGGGCAGGGAATGGATTCCGCATTGGACCCGGATGATTGGGAAAAGGACTTTTGCATTTCATGCAAGCTATGATTGCTACTAAGGCTCAGGAAAAATGTATAAATACTCACCCAGTGGTACAATTGTCCTCAACGCTTTTATCCCTCTCTCCCTAATTGTTGCTGGAGGTGCAGTGGTGAGGTGGGTAACATGACTGATAGTTAATGAATTTTAGACCACTATTTTATGTCTCTACACCAGGGTTCCTAATTCCAAGACACTGGCACTCTTCTCAAGGTAGAATGGTTTGTAGAATTGGATTCTATCAGGCATACTTTTCTTTGGGCCACTTGGACAGATTTCTGCTATTCTCTAAAATTTCATGATATGCTATCTAACTAAGAGCTTTCTTTCTGCTCTGGTCTGTCGGGGGGTGGATGGGGAAGGTGGGACTATTCTCCTCTTCCTTTCTTGTATATCCATCTTGTCTCCTTTCCTTTCTCTTCCTTCTCTCTTTTCCCGATCTGTCCTACATTCTTCTCTGTTGTTTCTTTCTTATTCAACCAAGGTTATTCATGTTACCCCTTCTTTTGATACTTCCCGAGATTTTCTAACGCGGACTACCGTAACATATGTCTTTTTTTTCATCGTATTGGGAATTGGATATTTTATTTGGATACTACTCATTACTTAGGTATGTGGACTTCAATTGCATCTTCCATGCTTTACCCTGAATGCTGGAATATGGCCTGTAATATGAACACTGTATACTTACAGCCTAGTATTCTTCATAATACTTTTGCACTTTTTGTTGTATGTTTGCTTTTATCAAAATAATAAACCCAGATTGTACTAAAACATATATACAGTGAGGGGAATTTATCAAAACTGGAGCAGACAAAATCTGGAGCAGCTGTGCATGGCAACCAATCAGCTTCTCTTATTAATTTTCAAATCTTAACTGAACAAACTGAAGAGAGAAGCCGATTGGTTGTCATGCACAGCTCCTCCAGATTTTATCTGCTCCAGTTTTAATAAATTCCCCTCATACTGAGGGAAAAGTATGTCTTTTCATAAAACAGTTTCCCAGTATATTCCATAATATAATATAATGTTACTCCTTCTGGTGGTAAATAGCCCCTAGATATACTCGAGAAGAGAATATCTTTATTTATATTTAATTTTAAAAGGATAAGGGGGATTTTTTTCCCCTGCTCATAATATGTGTGCACTATAGTTACATAGTATTTGAGGCTGAATAAAGACATTAGTCCATCAAGTCCAACCTATTAGGATCTCATTCTAGGAGTACCCGTACCCCTGTATATTACGGTCCCTTAAGAAATCGTCCAAAAGTTTCTTGAACAATTCCACATTATTTGCTGAAATCACCGCCTGTGGCAGTGAGTTCCAGACCCTAACTGACCAGAACTGGACCGCGTACTCCAGATGAGGTCGAACCAATGATCTATAAATGATCTTCTCTAAACTTTCATTTCCTTCCTCTCTTGTTAATTCATAGATTAATTTCATTGAGAACCACCTCCAGCTTCTGGCACCAAACCTATTGTAGATATGAGTATTTAATTACAAGCATGTGCATGACCCCATAAAGTATCAATTAGCACTTATCATTTAGAAATTTCTAAAGACTGATTTGATCCTTATGAGTTTTAATAGGACGCTATCTCAATATATACTGAATAGTGGATGTACATGTTGGGTGAAGGAGAAATGTGCTGTGCATAGCCAGATTTAAAGTAGCCTTGTTTTTTGGAATGATGCAATATATTTGTAATCCTTACATATACACCGCAACCTCTTTTTATATGTTAAATGTTCATATATTTCATTGTTGTCATTATCACCTGTGATTGTGCTCTGCAGAACGGTCTTCCCTCGCCAGAGAACACATATCTTTTTAATGGAGACTTTGTAGACAGAGGGAAACATTCCATAGAGATACTAATAATCCTCTTTGCATTCCTCCTGGTCTATCCAAATAATGTACACTTGAATAGAGGCAACCATGAGGATCCCATCATGAACCTCAGGTAATGCAGAACTCTTTTACTTCAGTGACAGTAGTAACAGTAAACTGACAGGTGTAGGGGCGCAACCTGTACTGAGAACATATGTAGGAAGTTTAAAATGATAGTTGTCTGGCATAACAGCCAGAGGCTTTATTGCATTCAGAGTCACTGGCCTGGGAAAGGTGTGCAGATCAGGGGCTAGCTACAGGTAAACATTCTTGTTTTTTACTGTAATGATTCCTTGGCAATAATTGTTGATGTGACTGGTCAATAGTTCCACAACTGTATATCATACTCATATTTGTAGATTCTCCTTCCAGTGGCTCTCTGTCAATCAGGAAGTTCAACCTTTCTTCTAAAGAACTGCTGAGATAATGTCTATTAACCAAGGATTCTGCTTTTTTCAGTCCATATTGCCAGTCTGAAAAAGTAGTAGGCAAACATGACTGTACATATATAATTGCAATCCCTAGAAACAACTATTTTTAAATATTAACATACATGACAAAGTACTGTATGTTAACATACATGACACTAATATACATGGCAATGTATTTATACATACTGTACATGACAATGTATATTTTAATAATATACATATATTTGGACTTTCATAGTTGTAATTCTGTTCAGCCAGTCATCAAAGTCAGATTCGGGACCTGCAGGTAATTAGTACACCATGGTCAAGAAGAAGATATACCAAAGCAAAGTCTATTGTGGTTTAATGCAGCTTTTAAGCAACAGAAGATGTTGAAAGCAGAATCTAGACTGACTTGCACTGCATAGCTGAGGAGTGTCACAGTCTACGACTAAATTATACTGTATATATCAAAACAATAGAAATATAGTGGAATATATTTATTCAATTAATTACTTTTCACATACTGTATCCTGGGTGTGTCCAATACCTCACCCCCGGCTGCATACTGTGGTTCCTCCTACCAACCTCCCCACCCTGTAGTGAGAGCCGTGAGGAAGAACCACAGCTTGCTGCAGGGGAGTGGGTACTCTACACACCTAGAAGTACTGGTTACCTGCAAGCCAGAGATCAGCAATACAGATGTTTTAGCACACAAGCTGTCAGACAAGTGAATATACACTGAGTGGCCAGTTTATTATGACCACCTAACGTTTGTAGGCAAATTAGCTATAATTAGCTATAATTTCCAGCTGAAGTTGCTAGAGGGCCAGACCATTATAAATAGGGAAACAGGTTGTTTACCACGACAGTAGAAGTGATTTTTATCTGAAGATTTGGGTAAACAACGCGATTTAACAGCCTTTGAACGTGGGATGATTGCTGGCGCTCGGAGCCATAGAGCGAGTATCAGCAAAACAGCAGAATTTGTTAAATGTTCAAGAGCAGCTGTTGTTAAAGTGTTTAAAGACTGGACTGTCAGCCGAAAATCTGGGTCTGAACGTGCGAATTGTGGCCGTCAGTGACTAGTCAATGTTAGGGCAGAACGTAGAGTGGCAAGACTGGTACAAGACAACAGAAGGGCAACAGTGCAGTGTCAGATTCCTCGCATCACCTTTCAACATCTCGTGGAGTTATCTCGTGGACAAACGAAGTACTGATGGGGTGGTCATAATAATCTGGCCACTCAGTGTATGTCCTCTGCCATCAAATGGTGGCTTTAAATGAAGTTGGTAATAATTACTGAAAGGGTCACTTTTGTTATATCAAATGGTTTTCAAGTAGATTGGTTGTTATATACTATATACCTGCAGAGCTGTGGACAAATGGTTCAGTAATAATTCTGCACTTAGTTAAAGCTCTAAGACTAGGTGACCTCAAAAGGTCATTTTGTCTAGACTGAGAACATGAAGCCATATTTTCTGATACATCGCAGGTAACTTGGGTATGTAAGTCAATATGCAGTTAAAGTACTGCGCATATAATGTGACTGACAGTGTCTATTTACATCTAATGCAGGTATGGCTTCACCAAAGAATTGATGCAAAAGTACAAGGTAAGTGTATGAATGTTAAGACAACTCTTTGTCTGGACATTGTGTTTTGCTTAGAAATTGTAAATGGTCTGCATATATACAATTACACAGTCTGTAGTTAAGAATATTTTACTTTCATAGTTACATGTGCTTGGAAACAGAACACCAAAAAGCATTCTACAGTTTTGAAACCAGGAAATGTTCCTCCTAGAATTCAGGGGAGTCTATCATTTGGTACAAATAAGACATTGCAGGCAACTTATTCGTCAGTGCAGTACAGGACTTTGCATATAAAATGCTTCACCAAGTGCTGGTGGATGTCCCTGTCTAGTTCCCTATTCTAAACCTGTCTTTGCAGAATGGGTAAGTCATATAGTTGGTTGCAGCCTGCGGTGCGGGGGAGGGGAGGGGGGAACAAGTAAACCTGCACTGAAATCAAAATTTGATTAAGCTAACCTTATTTATTTATTTATGGATGGCATCATCTAGTGTCTTTAGATTGTGGTTGCTAACTTCATCAACACCCTGGTAGCGCTTAAGCCTTTAGAAGTAGATTTTGGGTTTTTCTTATAAGGAGCTTAAATGCAGCATCCAACAGTACAGATGTCTTTGCCACCAACTGAGAGTTGATGACATTACATCCTGGGATGTGATGGGGGACTTTCCCAAAGTCAGAATTTTGTTAGTGGGGCTCTGTAAACATGCTAAACGTAGCAATCATGATCTACATGAATGTTTTGGTGCTTACCATCAAAATGTAAAGGTAAGTCCTTGAAACACTGCAAATAAAGTATTAAAATATATAAAACAAAAGTCTACATACTTAACGGTTTAGTTTTACATTATGTCATTGCTCAATGCTGAAGGGAGGACACGGGACCATACGGAGAGGCATAAACCCAGTCAAAATAAATGCAATTCCTAAGGCTACCAGACATAGACAACAGAAAGTAGACGCACAACAAGACAAGACAATTAGATGACAAAAAGGAAGTGAGAGGAGAGGAAAGAGAGAAAGGGAGGTAAAGGGATACTGCGTGATCAGTGAAAACAGATCATTAAAGGGACATTAAACCCTCAGATTTTTTTACATAAACCAATACTGTAATGTGCGCCTTACTGTAATCCATGGGAAGAGCAGCAAAGAGAAGGGAAACAACCATGTATTACAGTAAGGCGTACATTACAGTATTGGTTTATGTAAAAAAATCTGAGGGTTTAATGTCACTTTAAGCTAAGCCAGGGTCCTAAACTCATGAACAGTAGCCAGGGCCTCCATCTGGATAGAAAGGCATCTGACCTGTCCAACCGTTCGGCAATCAGTTCCTCAGATCTCATTAAGCGGCACAATTCTGCAGGAATCACCTGAGAGTTCCAATGCTTAGGAATAAGTGCCCTGGCCAGTTTAGCCTTGTTGTTGTCCTTCACATGCAGAAAGTCGTATGTAATAAACTGTCAGTACCTGCAGGTTTTTTACAATCACTAGTCATATTTTAACATGCTTGCATGCTTGAATCTGATTGCTAATACAGTAAACATAAAGAACGAAAGTAACTTTAGGTAAGCAGGGTGTAGGCAAATGGCTCTCATTGATAATGTGAGAAGTTGTGTGAATTGTCACTGCAGTTTTATTACAGCAAACTCAAATTGAGGGAAATTGTGTTGATTTTCTCAATTTAGCATAGGTACTGTGTTTGCTGGAGAGCATAGCCAGTTCACTAATTGGTTTCACTTATTGCATGGCATTGCTCTTTGATATGCTTTTTCTCAGAGCAGGTATAGTTTAACCCCCTCCATACATACGTACATGTTATCAAAAATATATTATCACATACTACGATATAAGAACTATTTATCTTGCAGATTCATACACAGAAGATTCTAGTTCTTCTAGAGGACATCTATAGTCAGCTGCCCCTCGCCACCATTATAGACAGCAAGATTCTAATTTTGCATGGAGGAATATCAGACACGACTGACTTGGATTTGCTGACCTCTCTTGAAAGAACTAAGGTGAGTTTTACAAATTAAAAAGCCTATTAAAGTATTAGTTCACTTAAACCTTGTATTTCATTTTGGATGGAATCATCCATTGGCTTTTATGTCTGTTCAGAAATTCTGGGGGTAATGATTGGGCAATATTTTCTAATTTGCTTCTCAAAAACATTTAGTCAGGACTGTCATGAGCTGCTAGCCTTTCGATCATTGCCTGATGTGGCCAAAAGAAGAACTGATTTGAGGACAGCCTTATGTCTACAGGCCACTGGAGATCTTACTGCTGCAGTCCCTGAGGGCTGTAAGAAGCAAGTGGGTGAATGTGTGTGCTAGCAACTAAGGGCTCACTTGTAATTTTGACAAGGGGTCAAGGTTATGTCAGTTATGTGATAATAGTATGTAATGCTTTATAACATAGCTGCTTGTTACATATCACTTGATATAAAGCTTAAAATTGCAATGTGACCGTACAATCTTACAATCTTTGTACAATAAGCTTTAACAAAACTTTGAAATATGAGGACCTATGCTATCCATTCAAGCTATATCTAATCAGATAGGGGCCTTGCACTACATAGATTTTGGTAGATCCAAAGAATATTGTACAGTGAGATTGTAACATGTGTTGAGCTTGTTTCTGTTTCATAGCTATCCCTGCTTGCGTCTGATTTTAACTAAACAATTTCTAGCTTTCAAGAAATGTATGAAGCAGATGCTGCCTTTGCTTTAAAACACTTATTTTATTGGTGGTCCATCAGTTACAATAAGGGCATTCTCACTTGGACATGTCATTATGCCTTGCTGAATTATACAGTATTAATTGTCCCTCTGATATTAGTGAAGCAAGACCCAGACTGACAGCTCTGGAATTGCAGGATGGGCTGGTATATATGCAGAGGCTGGAGCATGCTTCTGAAAGACATTCTCCTTCATTTAGACTTGTTTAAAGTGACACTAAATTCATAGCACATAAGTTAAATCTTAAAAATGCATTAACGTACCTTAACTATTAACAAAAATGTATCTTATTTGTGAATCGGTCGACTGTAGATCCTCAAATCATCTCTGAATTGGTGCTCTGTCCTTCCTTCTGGAGGGTGGCTACTTTCGTTCTCCATGGTCCCTTTGATTGTGTTGTAAAATAGCCACTGCTCCAAGTTTGCTCACATGATGGACTACAATCTCAACACATATTAATAAACTAAAGATGAGAATGTAGTCCATCACGGGAGCAAGCTTGGAGTGGTGACTACTTTACAACACACAGGGACCATGGGGAACATAAGTAGCCACTCTCCAGAAGGAAGTACAGTGCCAGGTGAAATTCAGAGATGATTTGAGGATATACATGTATATATATATACACACACACATATATATATGTGCGTGTGTATATATATATATATACACATATAAGTATACTGTGTGTATGTATATATATATATACATATATATATATACACACACACACAGTATATAAATATATGCCTATTTTACTTTAAAAATAAACATTTAAAGAGTGCATGCCATTGGTTTATGCAGAGCATTATGGATTTTTATAGACAAACAGACCCACAGCATCTGTTCTTGTTATGACTGTGTCTGCCTCATTGAATCTCCATACATCCCTTTCTGAACAGAGCATGGAGGCTGAAGGATGCCAATGAGTCAATTCTTCTGAATAATCTTCTTATATAGATATGTGATCTCTTATTAAACCCACTGTATAATCCTAAGTAGTACTGTGTCTACATCCATACCAGTGTGTATAGGAAGATGTAACATATGTTGTAAATTGTAAAGGCATTAAAATGTATTAAGGGATTCCATGATAGTGATCATATAAATGTACAAGGGCACATTCAAGGCTGTCAGGCATTGCCAGACAGACTTTGATGACAGATGGATGTACTCAGGCAGACAAGTACTGCTGAAAAGCCATACCTGGCTGAAGTCTCTAATAATATTTCATCCTGTCATTGCTATTATAAACTGCACCCACCGCTGTAAAGAGCTCACATTCTGCAAATGATTGTGGTCTGCAGGGGTGGGCTAAGTACAAAAGTGGGAGGGGCTTACAATAACAGTGTACCAGGCTTAATTTGACATTTTGACAGGTGTCATGTATGCTAATACGGGTGTATAAAATAAGCATTTCTGCTCCATTAATTGGCATCATTCTTGTGTTTACCATGATTGCCTGTTAATGGACATTTGTTTATGAAATGTAATGTAATTTTCAGATAAAAAGATCTCTGAAAATAAATACAATTCTCTTTTTTCCTCCATTCCACCCTCATTGACATGTGTCTGCATCTCTCAGTATATGTTCTTTAGTATATGGCATAGTCAGGCTGCATTACCTGAATGAACCCATGTATGTCATTACAAAAGCATTTACAGAACAACATTATACATCACCTTTGTAACATTGCTGAGGTAAATATAATTGTAATTATAGGTGGTGACTCCCAAGTGTACCTAACCATTCATTTGCCCAAGGCCAAGTGTTCCTTTCATTCTTTATACAAACTGACATAAATATTATTGTTTTTTTATAGTGTGTATTATTACAACAATTATCTCTCGCAAAAAGTATGCCAAAGTGACTTTCCATTTTAGACATCCTTTCCTAAAACCCGCTGGCCTTTTTGTGGCTAAAACTGAGAATGGTTATATGCAATAATTTTATGATAAACAAGGTTGTGACTATAGCCAGTGCAGCCTATGAAATTGCTATGTGCTATAAAGGTAGAGCACGTATATCCACTCTACATAGTTAGGTATTTACAATTCCAGACAATAGATACATATGTATTTATATAAATGGGCATATAAGGACCCAACAGCATTTTTATTTAATTTATCGATGTGAGACCAAGGGGGTGATAAATCAAAGGGGTGATTTATAAACTGTTTACATATCGAACAGCTATGTGAACGAGATTAAGAATATCTATGGCCACTGGATGGAGCTGAGGAGCATAGGTAATTCCTACGCTCCTCAGCTCCATCTAGTGGCAATAATTCGCATAGCTCTTCACTATGTGAACAGTTTATAAATCACCTCCCAAGTGCCACTAATATGTATTTTCTTTGCGTTTTAGTATAAATCAGCTCTGAGGCCACCAAAACCAGAATCGGGAAGAGACACCGTTAGGGTTCCAAAACTTGACAAGGCAACTATGGATGGCTGTAAAATCTTTAACAGTTCAGAAAAACATTTGGGAACTTTAAGCTATAAAGCACAGATTGGTCCTGAGCCATGCTATTCACCAACAATACCTTCCAGTCAGCATTCTAATGTGTTGAGTGAGGAATTTCGGAAACGTGGCATTCTGGAAGTGCATTACCTGGATTCAAGTATTCGTCTGCCTGATATGACTCCAGACCTAACAGCAGTGGAGAGAGAGGAGTGGAAACAGGTGTGTACACTGTGTTTATGTGCTTCTCTTAAAGGGAAACTATAATGGGATTTTTATTTATAAATATTTTTAAACGTATAAACATGTTTAAACTGATGCTGTATATTATTATTATTATTATTATTTGTAAACAATATTATACAAATCTGTAAAAAATAAATCAAAATAACTGGACTTGCTGAATTTTTCTTGAAGATTGTTCACTGGTCATCCAACCAGCTTTCTCAATTCTGAAATAAGAAAGCTGGTTGGATGACCAGTGAAATGTTTTCAGGAAAAATACAGCAAATCTGGTTGCCTTGATGTATTTTCTACAGATATACCATGACCTGGATGAATGAGAACCCATTTAATACACTGTGCTTTAATTTTAGTCTGTTAGCAGAGCATACTGGGCTTTTTAATAAGGAAGTCAATCACTACCTCTGCACTTGCTTAGATTGACATCAGAGATGCACTGTCTCTGCTGGTAATCACAGATAGCGGTTGTGCTTCTTCTCTCACTCAAGAAAATATATGTCACATTACATACATTACATTACCTTTTAAAAACCTTTCTTTTACAAAGCTATGAGACAAGGTTATTAAATTTAAACTTGTTCACGCTAGAAGGGAGGAGATTAGGAGGGGACATGATTGTGATGTACAAGCTGTTTAATGGTGATGGCAACATCAGCAATAAACTTTTTACAGTAAACTCCATAACAAAGACTAGAGACCACCAGCAAAAATTGGTGGAGAAAAGATTTATTCACAAGGGGTGTAGGGGCTTTTTTCAGTTAAAGTGGTTAAAGTCTGGAACTCGCTGCCACAAGCAGTAGTATCAGCTGAGAGTATTGTATCATTCAAAAAGCATAAAAGGTGCCCATACACTGCTCGATTCTGGTCCGAGAATCGCGGGAAATCCCGCAATCGTACGAGAATCGAGCAGTGTGAACGAAGACGTGCGACCGTTTCTACTGTACGGTCGCACGTCTTTTGTCTAAGGAGCACGCTAGAAAACCAGCCGAAAATCGTACGATTTTCGGCTGGTTTGAACGGTGCTCGGGAGACAAATGCCGAACGGGCCGGTGTGCGCACGCGCACACTGCCCGTTCAGCATTGCGGTCATTGGAAGCCCGCCCCTCAGGGGGCGGGCTTGCGATGATCGAGAGTACGATCTGCCTGTCCAAGATGGGCAGATCGTACGTTTTTTAATCACTTTACAACCATCGCAAGACTAAGGTCTTGCGATGGTTGTAAAGTGTAGATACCTTCCTCAGAGACCGTTACATACAGGGGTACATGTACTCTACAAAACAAGATCATACAGGGACTCGTCTACACACATACACATGCACAATCACACACAGACACACAAAGGTTGAACTTGATGGACCTGTGTCTTTATTCAACCTCAAATACTATATAACTATGTAACATAGTTACACTTGTTACTTAAAGTGTATTTCCACTTTTGCAGTCAAAATTGAGAAAAAAGTTCAGTAACAGCAAACACTGACTGTGTTAACAGAAAGACTTAGGGCATACTAAGCGTCTCCTCCTGAACAATGTCATCAGGGCTTTAACCCTTTGTTAGAACAGACGGTCCTGCTTATCTAGTTTACAAGTGATAATGAAAGCTGCCCCCACAGTACAGACATGGTTAATAATTTGAAACAAAACTCACCCAACTCCACAGACAGTGAGATCTAAGCAGAAATGTTCAGTACTGGAATTAGCAGAAAGATCATCAAAGAAAGGTAAGCATATTTTTTTTTAAAAGTTATGCTATGTGAATGGGAACATGTAACAAATATAAAGTAGGTGTTATCTCAATGTGGCTGCAAAAGTGGAAATACACTTTAAGATAGCAATTCAGAGAAATATCCCACATTTATAGTGAAAATTTGAGGGCTGAAAGTATTTGCAGCCTTTGCTGCACTGGTGAAGAGTAAAAGTGTTATTCACAAAGCTGCTGAAGGCAGCCGAGTGAATAACTGAGCCATAGTGAAGTGAGCTGACAAACATTTGGCTATTCACTACGGCTCAGTACGGCTGATTTCAGCCATATATCGGCTCTGCATGTCTGGCTGAGCCCAAGTGCAGAAGGACTTCGACTCAGCCGATCCAACATCTTGATCGGCCGAAGATTGGGCAGCTCACTCGCTGCCTTTTGGCCCTATTCACATAGGCAGTGAGTGAATAGCCGATTGCTTCCGAGCGGAATTTGGCTCGGCTATTCTGCTTGGTACCTCCGTGGTACCGAGCAGAATAGCAAATCAATGAGAATAGTTTAAAAAAAAAAGTAGAAAAAATTATTTCAAAATGTAAATAAATTGAAAAATTAAAAAATAAATAAAGATTTAAAGAAAAAAATTAAAAACAAACAAACAATTGGGTGGAGCTAGCAGTGAAAGCTAGCTCTTCCCAACTGTTTACTATTGTACGGCACCTGCTAGAGTCTTCTAACAGGTCCCGGCCAATGAATAACAACTGGCCAGAGCCGGCCGGCTCCTCCCAGTTGTTATTGTTTAATGACAGTTCAGCGTCCCCTGGTCATTTGGGGACTCTGATCTGTCATTACAACTGGGCGGAGCCAGCACTATTCAATAGCCCGTACAGCAGCCCTTCGGTCCGACTGAACCGAAAGGCTGCCGCAACCGAAGCTAACCGAAGGATCAGCCGAAGCTTCGGCTGATCCTTCGGCTAGCTTTGTGAATAGACCCCTAACAGTCATATTGATATAAGCAAGAGAAATGAAGCATAAAAAGTACACAAACAAAGATCTACAAACATACAATAGTGCCATCTACTGCAGCAGGTCTACCTGGTCTACAGTACTAACCCTTAGTGATTTTTTAAATTTGATTAAATATGATTATTATTTCATTTCGTATAGGTTAAATGTTAGGCCTTGTTAGGCATTAGAAATGTTCAAATATACAATGCTTGGGATCTTGAAATTGTTTTTACAAACAATATTAAACATTTATTAATCTTTAAATGCAATGATGGAAATGTGAACACTGCTATTTAGTCCATATGTGCAGTATATTAATTGATAAATGCTAAATAATAAACCTTTTTTTTAAATTAAATAACCTTTTAAGCCCTGAATATCAGATGCTAGATCACAATATAGGTGAATGAGAGAAAACACGCCTTCATGTCTATTGTATATGAGACCCTGGTAGGGTTATATTACATACATTAGCATTAGCTGAGGCAGGTGTATAGATAGTGTACTAAGGTCAGAGAGTTCAAGCGTGTATCAGATGGCAGAGATGAGACTCCTTGGGGACTGCATCAGAGAAAATATTAAACAATGTGCTGTGCAAATCACAGGCTGAGTAAAGGGCCGTGACCTAGCTGTATTGATTTACTGCAGTAGGCAAGTCAGGTCACATATCTGGCTACACAGTCTGGTAGAGTTTTGGCAGGAAAAGCAGCTACTATTTAGACGTTCTGGTTTAAATATTTAAATAAGATTTGCCATTGTGTCAGCTGTGATGTTTTGCATAGTGTGACCATGTTATTAAAACTGTTTCTTTTCTCCACATTTGTTACGCAAGATTGTTGACATACTATGGAGTGATCCAAGAAACCAGAATGGCTGCTTTCCGAACAGCTTTCGTGGTGGTGGTTGCTACTTTGGACCTGATGTGACCACAAAATTACTGGACAAATATAATTTAAAAATGTTGATTAGGTCACACGAATGCAAGCAGGAAGGGTATGAAGTATGCCACAATGGGAAGGTAATAGAGTACCTAAAGTAAAATCTCTCTCTGCATGATGTTTCTCATAAAGGTTGTACTGGCCGATTCAGCAGGCCCTGGACGAAATTGACTCAGTCCATGGCCAGCCTAATTCCAAATAATACTCTCCGCACAGACAAAAAGTTATGCTAAACTCAGGACTTAAAGTGGCACTAAACTCAGCAGTTAAATCTTAAAAATGCATTCATGTACCCTAACTATTAACAAAAATGTAGCTCATTTGTGTATCACTCAGTTGTAGATCCTCAAACCATCTCGGAATTTGTACTGACACTGTCCTTCCTTCTGGAGGGTGGCTACTTTTGTTCCCCATGGTCCCTGTGTGCATTGTAAAGTAGCCACCGCTCCAAGCTCGCTCACATGATGGACTAAAACTTCAATACACATTAGCTAACTTAACATGAGATTGTAGTCCATCGTGGGAGTGAGCTTGGAGCGGTGGCTACTTTACAACACACACAGGGACCATGGGGAACAAAAGTAGCCACCCTCCACAATATAGGACAGTGACAGCATGAATTCAGAGACGATTTGAACATCTACAGCTGAGTGATACACAAATAAGCTACATTTTTGTTAGAAGTTAGGGTACTTGAATGTATTTTTAAGATTGAACTCCTGATTATAGTGTCACTTTAACACAGTCCTTTTGAAAAGGTTGACTGTATATTTTTATCTGTTTATATTTGTCTTTTATCTTATTGAAGAGTGGCAATCAATATAAGCACCGTCTTTATTGTTGTTAGGTTGTGACTATATTTTCAGCTTCCAATTACTACGATGAAGGCAGTAACAGGGGAGCATATCTCAAACTTTGTCCAGATTTGACTCCACATTTTGTGCAGTATCAAGTCAGCAAGACCACACGGAAACTCACTCTTCACCAGAGGTAAAAAAAAAAAAATATTTCCTGTATTTGTCTGTTGTCAGCATAACATTAATAACAATATCTATGCAAAATAATAATGCATTAATCTGATTTTATATATTCAGGGACATTCCTAGCCTTTTTGCTGCCTGAGGGGAAAACAATGTAAACCGTGACAGCTCCGGTAGTGTGTGATACGACACCCACTGCTGTAGCTGCCACAATGCACAAGCCTATCAACTAAAATGCAGCACAGTGTGAACAGACCCTGAAGCAGGAAGCTCTTGCTGGCCACTCCACATTTATTTATTTTTCTCTTCTTCTTCCTCCACTTATTTGAATAGCAATCTACTTGCTTTAAAGTTCTGCAGCAAGTGGAGCCCCAAGCACATTTGATTTGCAAATCACTTTTTTTTTTAATGCGCACCACGGCAATGGTAAGACAGTACCGCTGCTTAATACAGGTGGCCCGTATTTTTTCCAGCAATATACATTAATGTGTAAAAGTACACATGAAAAGTGTATATAATGCAAAATGCTTCAAAAGGAGGAACTTCTTTAGCTAAAAGTAGCCATTCTAATCAGTAAATTTGAAGATCGTGTGTGCTGTGTGTGTATGTGTTGCGCAGGTCTTGTTATTGAAGAACACATGGCATTAATGCATGGCATGTGAGCTTGGTTAGGCTCTGGAGTTTACCTTCACCCACCACCTGTATAAAGGACAGAAGGGTTCTGGAGCAGAGTGTATCTATGTCATTCAAATAGACCTGTTACATGGGCAATACAATAACTGCTATTGCTGAAATCCTTCTTAAAGTCTATTTGACTGATTGTTATGCTGGCCCTATGGCTTCAATCTCTTCTGAGTCACTGACCTGGATCATTTATGAAGATCAGGAGATCTGTATACACTTGATTAAAGTAAACAGGTTGATTTACTAACAATGTCTAGAATATTCAGTCTGAAAAGAGAATGTTCATGAGTTTAGTGAGTAAGGTGAATCTGTGTTCACTTCACCCATCTAGTCATGTGCAAGTAAAAATCCAATTGTTTGAATATCCCATGCACATGATTGGTATTTATAGGGAACACTTTACCTTATTTACTAAGCTTTTTAACCATTCTCTGTTCCCTATTTCTTTTATAGATCAACTTCATGGTATTAAAAGTGAAATTGACATAGTTAGCTAGCATTTTCACATTCCTCTGTTACGATAGATTTCCTGTAAGGTTTGATACTATTTCTTCATCTATAGCCACATATTTGTTTACACATCCTAGGGCCACACTTTAACTTATATTTGGTCTAGTTTATATAAATGAGTTTGTTAACACTCTTAAATGCAGGTGGAAGTTTGAAAAGTCTGCTCTTGCTCCTGCGCGCCGCCCCATGTTTGCCTTTTAAACAGCTGGTGATAGCTGTTTACATACAAGTGTTGTATGTAAGCTATGGAGCTGCCCGATCACTTGTATGTTGTGTGTGTGTCCCGCCACCACCTATCCTAGTCTCCGAGGTCCCTGTGCAGGACTGAGACTGGCATGACGGCTGATCGGAGGGAGATCAGCACACAATCTCCTGCTGAGCTCCCCTCTGTTCTCTGAAAGCGGAAGTGGTGTGTATTACATCACATCTGCCTTCAGCTGTCATTTGTCCAGCTTCTTAAGGCTTGACATGTTTGGTGCCTATTTACCCAACGTCAAGCAAAACAAATGGCAAACGCACTCACCAGCTTTAACCTCTTGCCGTCCGCCCGTAGTAGAAAAACGGACGGACGGCACTGCTGCATCTGCGGGTTGCCGTCTCCAGACGGCAATTTTTTCTGCTCGCGCGCGCCCCCTAGCGGGCACGCACGGGCAGAAAAGACCCGACAATGCACACACCCGGTACCGGGTGTCACACATATAGGCGATCAGCGGGTCCATAGCCCGCCGATCGCCTATATGTGCTCGTTCGCGGCACATACCCCCCGCCCCCGCGCCCATCTTGGATCCCGGGACCGGCTCCGAGGGCGTCAGGAGGATCCCCGTCCGGGCTGTGAATGCAGAAGTGATGTGTGTTACATCACTTCCGCATTCACTTGTCAGTCATCTGGAGACAGAAGAAGCTGATAAAGCAGATCTCTGCTTTATCAGCTTCTTTTGGGGTCCATAGGTGATATTAGGGGTCCTAGAGACCCCTAATATCTCCATAAAGAGGACCTGTCAGTGTGCCTTTGCTATTATATAGGGGGTTGTTATCCCCCTATATAATAGCAATAACAATAAGTGCAAAAAAAAAATATATATAAAAAAAAAGAAAAGTAACACATAAAAAAATAAAATAAAATAAAAGCCACATATAAAAAAAGGGGAAAAAACCCCCCCAAAATGTTTAACTCCCCCACCCCCACGTTTACGCGCCTATAAACGTAAATACGCGTCCGGTGCCCCAGCGCGCAAAAATTACAATTGCGCTACACATGTTACATATCGCCGCGAACGTCGCAGTGAGAGCAATCATTTTAGGGCCATCAATCACTGATAACACTAAACTGATGAGCGGTAACAGCTTTTAAAGCGTCGCCTAGGGCCAATTTTGGGTATTATCGTTTTTTGAGGTTTCGCGCGCACACGCAATTTTAAGGCTTGACATGTTTAGTGTCTTTTTACCCGACGTGACCCCATCTTTTATATTTTACCAAAAAATTGGGTAATAATAAATGTTTTATCATTTAATATAGGGGAAACTGTTTTTTTTTTTAAATTTCGGTAATTTTTCCTTAATATAGTAAAAAAATAAAACCCCCAGTGGTGAATAAATACCACCAAAAGAAAGCTCTATCTGTCCCCAAAAAAGGGTATAAAATTCATTTCAGTACAGCGCTGCATGACGGAATAAATGTCAGTCAAAGTACCGCAGCGCTGAATACTGAAAAATGGCCTGGATGGGAAGGGGGTTTAACACCGCGGATGTCAACTGGTTAAAGCAAGGTGCACATGGAAGGGCTTTATAAAGTACAACAGCAAAAAGTTTCCCAGCACACTCACCAGCCAGTATGCAAAAAAACTTGTCTACCACTAAAGTTAAAAACAGAGGTTTAGATACACGTCTTCTGCAGAATATGTGAAAGCTGCACCGCCTCGGGGTGGTAGACAGGTTTTTTTGTATGCTGGCTGGTGAGTGTGCTGGGAAACTTTTTGCTGTTGTATTTACCCAACGTGACCCCATCTTTTATATTTTACCAAAAATTGGGTAATAATAAATGTTTCATAACATAACGTAGCAAATACGGGGTTTTTTCCCCAAATTTTCAGTGCCGTATTTTTCCGTATAAGACGCTACTTTTTCATTACAATGTTTACCCAAAAATAGAGGGGCGTTTTATACACGGCGGCCGAGAGGAGAACCGCGGTTGCGAAACTGCCGAAAGTGCAGATACCACTGCAAACTTGTCTCACGAGTGAAACTTCGGATTGAAGAGACAAGACAAGCCTTCCTCCAATCTTAAATCTTTTGTACCTGATGTCAGATGTTGCTGGGGAGAGTGGAAGAATACTGTTAGCTTGCTTCTGCAATCTGCTCTCCCCAGCAACAGCTGACGCCAGGCACAAAATATCCACGACCGGAGGAAAACTGTTATCTTGTCTCTGTAATCCGATCATAAATCATTTGTAACTGACGAAGGCTGCTGCCGGGGAGAGCGTGTAGCCATTGCCAGAGCTGTAATGTCGGAGCATAACGTGATTGACTCAGAGGTAAGTGTGATGAATTATATCATTTAAAATATTGATTTCTGAATTTTGGGTAAGAAAAGTTGGGGGCGTCTTATACATGGGGGCGTCTTATAGACGAAGCTCCGTGTCCCCCAAAAAAGGTATAAAATTAATTTCAGTACAATGTCGTATGACTGAATAAATGACAGCCAAAGTACCACAGCATTGAATACTGAAAAATGGTCTGGCCTCGAAGGGGGTTCAATACCCCGGTCTTCAATCGGTTAAAATTAGCCCAGGACATTGCCACTCATTTCAAAAACAAAATAGATACAATTCGGGATCAGATCGCCACTGTGCAGCCACCTTCCCCTATTCATGTTCCAGACCCACCATCACACTTGTCACTCTCCTCTTTTGACCCGGTCACCACAGAGGAGGTTTTAAAGCTTCTCTCTGACACCCACCTCACCACTTGCCCCCTGGACCCTGTTCCCTCACCACTACTTCGGTCACCTTCATACTCTATCCTACACTCTCTTACCCACATTTTCAATCTCTCCCTCTCTACTGGAATCTTTCCCTCCCCTCTAAAGCATGCCCTGGTCACCCCAATACCCAAAAAGCCATTGCTAATAGTATTATATCTTCTGCCTATTTAGTTGAATAAAATCATGTTACCATTTCTCTTTGCAGTGTTAGAGCTGTGGAAGACTCAGCTCTTAGAGCTCTTCGAGAACAATTCTATGCCCATCGCTCTGACCTTATGAAAACATTCAAAGAGTATGATCCACATGGAACAGGTATAAAAAAAATTATTCAGCGTTCCTGTCAACTTTCTATTGCTGGCTGGGTCCCCATTTAGGAGATTTCTCCTCAAATCTTGTCTGTTTTATGGGTATAAGACAGAGCAGGAAGTGAAAGAAATATCCCCACTTCCTATCTATTTGATGGGTGCCAGACAAAACAGGAAGTGAGGGGAATTCTCTCATCAAGTACATAGATGGCACTAAAAGCAAAGTGTGAGAGAGGTTTCATACCTCTGACAGGATTTTATTGTTGTTTTTATTCCTAGGATGAAAGTTTCCCCCCACTCCCTGTTCAGGTGACAAGAAACATCTCCTCTTTGGGAACACAGACATTTAAAATCTGAAATCTGAAATGTTCCATCCCAATACTCTTGTCTTTTTTTTTACCTAAGTGACTGAAACACACTAAACAATCAAATCAAGTTTGTTAAAAAAAAAGGATTTGTCATAAGGCACACGTATTTTATGTTATACTGCAGTCAACAGATTATTATTTTCTACTAGTCTAAAATACATGGATAACATATCAGGGCGGATCAGATATCTGCCCCTTTGACCCCCTATAGGAAAACCCCTATCTAGATCAATACATGAAAGAAGCGTCCACTAGCAGGTGTTTTCCTTTTGTACTCACTCCAGACTTTACCTATATAACTTAATTTTTTCCTTGACTATTTTTCCTTGTGTATTTTTCTCTACGCTTCCGCAGACATTCGCCATAACGTAACAGACATTCTGCTACCCACAGATCTAGTGTAGGGGCTTACCTGAATTCCAGGGTTCTCAGCCCAAACCTGCCTAATTATTGTACGGAACCAATATATTTGGAGAGAAAGCTAAACTCCTCAAACAACAGACAACACCAATGTTGAAGTGGAAATCAAGAACTGCTTTATTGAAGAAAGCACACAGAGTTTATACAGTACCTCACAGAATCAGATAAGAGTTCAGTGTTACATTGAACAGTTCCCACCTCTAGACAGCCGGGTACAGCATTGGAATTCCTTAAGCACAGACACTCTTTGAACCTAATGAATGTCCTTAATTAGATGAGAGATTGATCATCCTAAACAATGGTCACTCCAGACAGCCTGCTGCCTATAATGAACACAGGGTCACTTAAATGTAATGTCAGGGGAAACATGCAGTATTTTCACTTCCCACATAAACCTAAGATAATAGTTCCACGTAACCCCAAGAGGTCTGAGGGGGTCTCCAAAGTTCTAGGTCCATAGTCAGTAGGAAGGAGGCTAGCCCTCAGGCTCCTCCAGCAGCCCCAGTGACGGTTCAGTCCGTCACACTGGGCCTGAGGCACAGGGCCTCTGCCTTCAAAGCTAGCCTGTGACTCTTACTTTAAAGAAGCCTTGCTTGACAGATCTACAGAGAATAAGGCTGTTGGACTGTACATCAAAGGTGTGATGGCACCTGTGAGATTCCAGATCCTCATCCTGACCTATCCTCCAAAGAAGAAGAAGTTGAGACTTTTTCCTTCAATTTTGTGATCTCTCTGTTTGTATAGGCCATGAAGCAGGCAATTGATTGAGAGAAGAATGCATCACTGGCACAAAAACATAGGAAGTACTATCCAAGTGATGCCCACTTTTTCCCTGATGCCATAAATACAAAGGATAATAGAGGAGGAGTAGGTTAAACCTGACGGAAGCTGGTCCTACAAAACAGGATGGGCAAGTTGGACCCAATACGCTCATCTGACTCGGAGTTGTGGTATACTCCTCCCAAGGTAGAAGCATTTTTAGAAAGAGGGTTTAGACATGTAGCCCGTCCTTTAGATGAGCCAGTCTCCTTTAACCAGTTGACATCCGTGGTGTTAAACCCCCTTCCCATCCAGGCCATTTTTCAGTATTCAGCACTGCGGTACTTTGACTGACATTTATTCCGTCATGCAGCGCTGTACTGAAATGAATTTTATACCCTTTTTTGGGGACAGATAGAGCTTTCTTTTGGTGGTATTTATTCACCACTGGGGTTTTTATTTTTTTACTATATTAAGGAAAAATCACAGAAATTAAAAAAAAAAACAGTTTCCCCTATATTAAATAATAAAACATTTATTATTACCCAATTTTTTGGTAAAATATAAAAGACGGGGTCACGTCGGGTAAAAAGACACCAAACATGTCAAGCCTTAAAATTGGGTGCGCGCGCAAAACCTCAAAAAACGATAATACCCAAAATTGGCCATAGGCGACGCTTTAGAAGCTGTTACCGCTCATCAGTTTAGTGTTATCAGTGATTAATGGCCCTAAAATGATTTCTCTCACTGCGACGTTCGCGGCGATATGTAACATGTGTAGCGCAATTGTAATTTTTGCGCGCTGGGGCACCGGACGCGTATTTACGTTTATAGGCGCGTAAACGTGGGGGTGGGGGAGTTAAACATTTTGGGGG